TCCTTTACCTTCTCTCACTCCTTGGCCAGGTTCATGTTTTAGTTCCAGGATAAAGGGCATCAGCTTTTCTATATCACTCCCATGATCCAATTTGGAGACTTAGAGATGGTGAGAAATTCACACGGGTTCCAGTTCATCCTGTATGTTCCAGCTCATCCTTGCAGATTGAAGATTTTTCTTGTTTCTGCCATGTTACAACTATTTTTTCTTTCTAACTGCTTGCCCTGCCCATTTCAGGCCCCAGCTCCTGTTACATAAACAAGACTTCACAATTATATAAACCCAAATACTTGTAATAAGTCTCTTATTATATATTACTATTAGTTCTGCTTCTCTCATCAAACACTGATTGATTCGCTTACCTTACCAAGCTATGGAGAGTTCCACTAACATGCCATGCTTCTGTGCCTTTGTTATTTCCTCTACCTAGAATTCTGATCTTCTCTGCCTAGTCAATTCCTCCACATTCTTGGCTCGTCGTCCTTAGAAAAGCCTTCTGTGGACCCTCAGCCCTAATTAAATGCCCCTCCTTTGTGCTTGTGCTTCCACAGCAACCTGTGCTGTTTCTGTCATAGACCTATGACTTTATATTTTCTTCTGTTCTTGGTCTCTCTCCTAAGGAGACTAAACTCTTCTAGGGTAGGGACCGAGTCATCTCTATGTCTCTAGACCAGCTCAGTACTCTGCAAGAAGGAAGTGCTCAATAAATGTTTGCCAAATGATGAGAATGAGGACTAATTTTGTACTAAAGTTTCTTGCTCGAGACTTGCATGTCACAGCTCATAGTAATAAGATAATTACCATATAACTATGTGCAAGCCCCACACCCATCATTCCATAGTTGCAGTCTCACTCTTAGGTTGATTCTACTCTGCACAGCATGAAGGGGAGCTAAGAACATTGGACTTATCCTCATTAATGTAGATGCCCCCTCGACAATCAGGTAATTTAGGTTCCAAAGTGGACTTCTTAATAGAACTATCTGATTTAGCTGTTGCTATAACCTGAATTAACCAGACAATGTTCTCTGGATTTGGATTTGACTGTGTAAGTATTGCTTAATTATAGACTAATAAAAATAAAGATTTGCCTGTTGCTGAAATTTGGAATAAAAGGGGAACGAGGATATTGAGACTTTTTGGCTCTAAAAATGTTTTCCTCCCAGTTAAATTACTTTAATTATATTTGCTGTTCAAATAGTCTGGTAACTACGCTGCTGTTAGCTGAGCAATCAAGGCTGGGATCTATAACTACTGCTTTTAGTTGAGTTATATAGAGTGCGAACTATTCACTGTTCCTTTTATTAAAGAGGATAACCTAGTTCTCTACTGGATTTTTTAAAATTGAGGTATAATTGACATGTAACATGTAACATCTATTAGTTTCAGATGTACAACATAATTCGATATTTGTTTATATTGTAAAATGATCACCACAATTGAGTCTGGTTGACATCCACCACCATACATAGTTACAGAATGTTTTTCTCTTTTGATGAGAACTTTTAAGGTCTACTCTCTTAGCAGCTTTCAAATACGCAATACAGTATTATTAACTATAGTCACCACGCTTTACATTACATGCCATAACTTATTTATTTTATAACCAGAAGTTTGTACCTTTTGTCTACTGGCTTTTTTTTTTTTTCCAGTACTTAAAATATTAAGAAATTAAGCCTATAATTGGGCAGCAACCTCAACCAAGAGAAGATCAATGTTTTTCTTACCATTCCTCCTTCATTATATCATCTTGACCCATTACTAATCTTATAATATGAATGGATAAAATAAATAAAAATACTTTCAAAGACAACTGAACACAAGATACAAATTAAGCAAGTTACCTAGAGTCACAGCTCCCACAACGAATCCTTGGGCAGCAACTCTCGTGTGAATAAGATGAATGGACATTTTCTGATCTCTTCTGTACTTTAACTTGTAAAGACCATAGGACACCACAGTCATAAAACCTGCAATACCTGTGAATTAAAAAAGGGGGATTATATAAATAGTAGGCTAGAACACCCATGAGCTTAGAGAGTTGAATAAAAGATGGTACAAAGGATCAGTACTTGGAAGATAAGCAGACATGACACCAAAGAATACTTTAAAAAGAACCATGCCAGGTTTGATCCACCAAATTTAAAAATGGACCCATAACATTCATGGATTCAATATTCGCAGTTTTGCCTTTCCCCAGAAAAACCTGAACCATATAGTATAGTAATTTGTCTAGTCATTTCTAATTTTCCTGAAGCATGATTTCAAATTGTGCATGCTGCAAGGCTTTTATCTGGGGCAAGTCACTTAGTGAGTGAACCAGTGAAACATCCCAGCATCGATAATAGCTTTTGAGTGTTTGGCTTTACTCCTTTCTACTTGTTACCGAATAAGGAGTAAATCTAGCAAAGTGGTAAAATCTTGAATCTTCTGTAAAAATGAGACATTAAACTTTATTGAAAGATGAAAAGATATGAATATTTGCACAAGCAGTATGTGACTCCAAGAAGAACTGTGATTCTAGAAAACTCTCAAAGCCCTCACGAATATTTTTGTATTTCCTACAGATGTTAAAGGCGATGGGATGACCAAGAGTCTATGCAATTAGCTCTAAAACAGAAATCTGGTCAACTGAATAGGAAAGATTCTGGAAAGAGATTTAAAACACTATGAGAACTTAACCCATGCCAAATCCAAACAACCAAAAGACAGATAAAGGAATAATTATTTAATAAATATCATTAGTACAATTTTTTGGTATAGAGAACTAACTTGGATTTGTATCTCGTACCAGACCCTACAAAAAATTCTAGATGCATTAAAATTAAAGGTAAAAATAAAACAAGAATATCAACAACAAAAACTAGAAGAAAATAGAATAGCATGTTTATAACATCTAAAAGAGGGTACGATATCTCAGACAAGAAAAATCTAAAGGACTTCATCACCACCAAACCAGTATTACCAGAAAATGTTAAAAGGACTTCTTTAAGAAGGAGAAGAAAAAAGAAAAAATATGAATAATAAAATGGTAATAACTACATATCTATCAACAACTACTTTCATTGTAAATGGATTAAAATGTCTTTTGCTCCAATCAAAAGACATAGGGTGGCTGCATGGATAAGAAAAGAAGACCCTTACAAATGCTGCCTAGAAGAGACTCATTTCAGATCGAAAGACACATACAGACTGAAAGTAAAGGAAGGGATGAAAAAAGGTATGAAAATGGAAACAAAAAAGTTGGGGTAGCAATATTTAAACCAGACAAAATAGACTTCAAGCCAAAGGCTATGACAAGAGACAAAGAAGGGCCCAATAATTCCACTTCTGGGTATTTATCCGAAGAAACCCAAAACACTAATTTGAATAGACATATGAATTCATGTATTCATTGCAGCATTATTTACTGTACCAAGACATGGAAGCAACCTAAGTGTCCATCAGTAGAAGTGGTATATGTATAAAATGGAATATTCCTCAGCCATAAAAGAGAATGAAATCTTGCCATCTGCAACAACATGGATGGACCTAGAGGGTATTAAGCTAAGTGATGTAAGTCAGACAGAAAAAGACAAATATCGTATGATTTCACTTATATGTGAAATCTAAACAAAATAAAATAAACAAACTCATAGATACAGAAAACATTTGGATGGTTGCCACGTGGGAGGTGGGCTAGGGGAGTGGGTGAAAAAGGGAAGGGATTAAGAAGTACAAATTGGTAGTTACAAAATAGTCATGGGATATAAAGTATAGCATAGAGAATATAGTTAATAATATTGAAATAACTGCATGGTGACAAATGGGTACTAGATTTATCAGGGTGATCACTTTGTAAGTCATATAAATGTCTAATCACTATGTTGTACACCTGAAACTAAAATAATATTGTATGTCAACTGCAATTGAAAAATAACTTAAAAATAAGAGGGTAAGGTAGACTTAAAATGATAAGGAAAATACTATATTTTGACATATGAATAAAGAAAATTTTTGCATAATAAAAGTGTGGGTCTATATTTTGGGTGCTATCCTTTACCCTGTTGACCTATGCATCTATCCTCCATCTATAACACACTGTTGTGACTACTGTAGCTAAACAGTAAGCCTTAATATCAGGTAGTGCGATGCCTCCCACGTAAAAAAAAAAAAAGACCATTTTAACCATTCTAGGACTTGTGCCTTTCCCTATAAATTTAGAATAAACTTGCCTATGTCTATAAAAATCCTTGCTGGGGTTTTAATGAGAATTATGTTAAACCTGTAGATCAATTTGGGGAGAATTGATTCCTTTACTACATTGAGTCTTCCAATCTGTGAACACAATAGTCTCTACGTTTATTTAGGTATTTGATTTCTTTCATTAGCATTTTGTAATTTTCAGCTTACAGATTCTGTACATATTTCCTTAAGCTTACACCTAAGTATTTTTCTTTGGCATGATTATAAATGGTGGTATGTTTTTAATTTCAGTTTCCATGTGTTTGTTAGTATATAGAAATGCAATTGATATTTATATACGATAGCAAGTTTTGATTAACTGTTGGCATATGTATGTCTCTATAGGTGGATGAAGTTATATTTATTCTTTATGATTCATTTCATAAGTGGTAATAGCAATCAGTAAATAATAGCGTATATGTATATTTTATAGGCTGATTAGCAATAAATGAAACTGAAATAAAACTGACGTATATATAAAAATAGCAAAAACAACAAAACGATGGTAGGCACATTGAGAAACAGATACAATGCTGAAAGCTCTGTAAGTTTAGCTAAATCTTTCTGGAAAGAACTCTAGAAATATATAAAAAGTGACATTAAACTGAAAGTACTTCGTGCCCCGGAAATTCTAATTGGGGGAACATACTCCAAGGAAATAAGCAAAAGAAAAATTGATACAAAAACTAAAAACAAGTCAAATGGCCCAAACGGAGGAAAAACTGTCATAGCTATAAAAAATTATAATTATAGGAAGTACTAATACACAGAAATGTACATAAGAAATGTTAAATAAAAGAAGCAAAAACAAATAATCTATTAACACAGTTTAAATATACATAATGTATGCACAGACCTTAATAGTGATCATGAGACAATTTTAAACAAAATATGATGGAAGTTATTTAAGATAACAAAAATGTTGTGTAAGTTATTTACACAAGACACTCTATCCTACAGCAGTAAATACACAGATATTGTTAAAATAACAATAGCTAAACAAACTATTTAATACTTATATATATATATACCCAAATTTTATCATTATTTTTCTAGCAAAAACTTAGTTCTCTTTCCTTATCAAATCAAGGTTCTGTTCTTACTTAAATTGGTTTTGTTTCTTTTAGAGATCAAAGTCAGGACCTTTACTGTTTTCCACATTGTGTCTCTGCAGTTTGTATATAATTGAATTTAGCTGGAAACACTTTTATTTTTACTTTAATTACCCTAAATGTCTCTGGCAAACTAATTTAATTTACAACAGGTACAGTGATTAATCTCTGTTCATTATCATGATCTGGTCAAGTGACATCAAGTTCTTGAATTGTTTTTCTAGCTAAAAATGCTAAAGAAGGGAATAAATCACTATAAAATTGTTTGCTTCCATTTCCTGTGGGTGCTGTTACAACTCTTAGTCAAATTAAATGAAATTTCTAAACGGATTATTACTATAAAGTACAATTTTGATTCTTGGTGACATGTGAATAATGACACGAAGTTGCTAGATTTGCAGTGACACTTAATGAAAACATGAGTTATACTTATTTAGAAGGTTTAATGGAATTAAGCACAAACATGCACATCTGATTTAAATCAGTTATTTTAATAGTTTCTGGACAAAATTAACATAAGGAAAGAGGCATGGCTGAAGTTATACAATAATAATGCTTGGGGCAGCTGAAGTAATAAAATAGAAAAGTTAGATTTTAAAAACATAATATTGGTGCTCAGATTTGTGTTTTCTAAGCCCAAATTTTAGTACTTGTTGAAAATGAAAATACTAAATGTGTTGGGAAAAGATTAAGAGGCTAAGACTCCAGGTCTAATTATAATACCCCTTCTTTAACCTAGAGATTACTTAACCATCAACTTCAACATCTGGAACGCATCAGGAAGCCAGGAAAAAGGGCCACTGAGCATAAGCACTACAAAGCTCATGCTCTCAAGTGTACAGGTAGGCCCATTTCTCCAGAGCTGCTTATTCTGAATCGACTCAGTTCTTTTAAGCTTGGGTATCTAGCTTCTAGTGCCAGAGAACTTTAGAAGCAGGTTTTTTTGGTGGTACCTGAAAATAATGGAAGAAATAGAAAAATCTATAAACATCAGACACAAGAACTTAAAGGTTGGAGTTACTTAGAGGACAAAGAGACATATACATCTCCATAGTCCCTAATAGACTTTCAGTTGGCTGATGATGATCCTGAGTCATCACAGAAAAGTTAAAGTCCACTCAATCAATTTCATTTAGATGGGCTGGGAACAGCCAATTTTAGGTAGACCTCAAATGGAGATAGATTAAATAGAATAAAATTTGATGCTTCATAATAATAATAGCTAATAGTTATTGGGGATTTATCATATACTAGAAACTGTTCTGAAAGTTTAACTCATGCTTAGAGGCGGGTAACTTCAATTATCTGAGATATTCAATTATACAAAAGATTTCAGTCTTTAAAGACACTGGGTAAAGCTTTAACCTATTATTACAAACATTTTTCCAGTACCCAGTCAAGGCTGTACTTACCTACCGGAACAAAGGGGGAGTCTCTAGATTTCCTGATAAGTCGGGACAATTGGCCTTCATCCTCATCTGCTGACCACTGGTTATCTGAAGACATTTTTCTCTCTAGTAACAGTAAGAGATAAATGTGGTTGCTGTGAATCATTAAAAAGAATCCATTTACCCTCAATGTACTCTTGATTACGTGTTCTGTCTTCATTCGCTCGACACGTCTGTCTGCTCAATTGAAATAAACAGTCGCCTTTCTTTCACCCTTTTCATTATGGGATCCTTTCATTGTGTTTGGAGGGTGGTAAAAGAAAAATATATAAAGAGAGGTAATGATAATCAGATTCCATGAATACAGAGTGAAAACAGAGGTCATAATTGTATCTTTCATCTCTTTTCACGGCTCGGCATTTGAGATCATTGGGAACCTCAGAATTTCTTCCACCAACAGCAAGAACAGTTTCTTTTACACAATATCATTTTAAAAAATGATGGCAGTAACAACATAAGCAAAAATAACATCCGGATTTACGGGTGATGGGAGAATGATTATTCCAATTCTGCAGAAAGTGTGGGCATTATGAAGTCATTGATATTTACCAAGCACCTACCATGTGCCTGGTGCTATGCTAGACAATGGAAATAATTTTCCTTGTCTACACGAGATTAATGAGGAAACTTGCAAGAGCAACTATAATCACAATCAACATGATTTAGCAGCACCTCAGACTGTTAGCCGTGCAACTCACTATTGTCACCTCAAAATTCAAATAGGATAGCTTCATCCTATGAATCAGCTTTCATCAGAAAATGTAACCCGCTAAAGTGGCAGATGCACAATACCTTTGGCGTACCCCACCACCTGATGGCTGTTTCCTGGTGTTCCTTGAGCAGACAGCGGTAGATCAGGACAGGCTTTGTAAGGCTGGGACACATTTAAGCTCAATTTTCAACTGATTGATAGATAATGGGAAAGCCCAGAAACTCTCCTCCCCCAAGGGGAGTGGCCAAAGTTTCCACAGCCCCTGCTGGAAACAGTAGCACCTGGGTCTGAAACATTAGGCTTTCCAAAGACAACATGAAGGAAACATTAAGGCATTTGAAAAAGATGCCATTACTTAATTCTGCCTTCTCAAGGTTGCTCCCAAGTTCCCTCCGTGTCTGTGAGTGCCGCTATCCGACTGCAGGTTCTCAAATCTAGAGGAAAGTGTGCACAGGGTTACAACACTGGGTTTTTTGGGTGGGGATAGTAGGGTTGGCCATCTTAGGGCTGATTCTTGACTTTCAAGAATATGCGCTTGTCAGAAGGGCGGCCCGCTGTGGCCAGAATCCCAGGCTGGGCTGCACGAGTTTGCTGGCAGTCACCTGGCGGCGGAGCCCTCACACCTGCAGCCCCTGAAGAGCCTCAAGCTGCACGTGCGCTCCACCGAGAAGGATGTGATGTCACTGCGTCTGTGGCCAATCCGAGGGCAAGGCGGGCAGGTGCAGCAAAGGGCTGAGTGAGCCCGCTGCCCTGCGTCTGCGCAGGGAGGCTAAGGTTAATGTGGCTCCGGGGGTGAGTGCCTGGTGGGCGCTCCTTCGCTTCTGTCGTGACTGTGCACCTTTGGGCGCCTTGAGGCATCCAGGTCCTGGCTCGCTGCATCCTTCCAACTGCAGCCACAAAGACCGCAGGACCAGGTAACGTAGGCGGTTTTTTCCTTATAACTTTTTATTTGTAAATAATTTCAGACTACAGAACGATTCTCAGAATAGTACAAAAAAATTTTTGTCCGGCAGCTGGACATACAAATGTGGCCAAACTTTTAGCCACGTTTGCTTTATCATTTTTCTCTAGATACGATTCTTTCCTTCCCTCCGGTTATTTTGTAGACTGTCTCTCAAATTAGTTTTTTTTTTTTCTTTTTCCTGGTGCTTTCTCATCATTAGGTTGAAGTTATGTATTTTTGGCAGAATACCGCAAAAGTAATGTTGCATCTTTTTTGATGTGTAATATCAAGATGCAGGTAAGGTCAGCTTGTCTGGTGGTAGTAACTTTGATCTAGTATTATGCTGAGAAATGTCTAACAACTGGTTCTCCAGGGGAAAAAGCCTCGATTTGTAACACTTGCTGATTCCATGGTGCAAATCTTCCCACCATGGTCAGTTTCAAGCTACTGTCATGTTATCACTGAACACAAAATTGGAAAGAGATGTGCCTCTTCTGAGTTGGTGAGTCAGCTCTAGCACTCCACTGCTTTGTTCACTTGGATTAAGGTGGTGTCTGCAAATTTTTAGTAAAGTTACTATTTTTCCCTTTATAATTAATAAATAAAGGAGATACTTCAATATTATACAAATATCCTGTTATTTCTTACACTTTTACCCATTAATTTCAGCCTCTATTGATGATTGATGGCTGAATCAATTAATATTATGTTTGCCAAATGGCAGTTTTCTAAATCCATCATTTCTTTTATATTTTCAGTGGGCATTCATTCTACTATAAGGAATTGCTTTCCCTTCTTTTCTATTTAATCATTCATTTATATCAGTTTGGACTCATGAATTTCTATTTTATTCAGTAATTTATAATCCATTCCTATAATTATTTATTTTGATGGTCACATTGTCCCAGATTTGGTTAATGTGAGCCCATTCAAGCTAGCTCTTATGTCCTATTGACATGACCTCATCATTCTTCAAACAGTTCTTTATAACCTGGCATAACACATTGTTCCAGGCTGAACTTGTACTTTTTCTTCCCCATCCCTGAAATCAGCCATTTCTTCAGGGAGTCCTGATTCATTTTAGTGGAGAATCGTATTTAGAAACCAAGTTCTGGGCATGAGACGTTTTCATTGTTACTGTAGTGTCATTACTTCTAGTCTCTCTCAGCAGACAGAATTAGAATTTGTATTTATGTCTATATTTCTATTCCTAAATATCTGTTTTAAAATCAGTTCATAGTAATAATTCTAATTTCAGTCCGACTCCACAGGGTTCATTCTGGTCTTCCCCATTTCATATTTGTCAGATTTCTTTCTCTAACTGAGATACCTGAGTCCCACTATACTCAATATCGTTATTTAGTCATGTGCTGCATAATAATGTTTTGGTCAGTGATGGACTGCATATGTGAAGGCGGTCACGTAAGATTATAATGGAGCCGAAAAATTCTTAGTGCCTAGTGACATCATAGCCATCCTAACATGGTGCAACGCAGTACTTGTTTGCGGCGATGCTGGTGTAAAAAAACCTACTGTGCTGCCAGTTGTATAAAAACATAGCTCATATAGTTATGTACAGCACATAATACTTGACAGTGATAACTGTTTATTTATTTACGTATATGTATTTACTGTACTTTCGATCAACCTATTTCTAAAGAAATTTTGCCGTAAAATGGTATGCTGCATTACACGGGTAGCAGCCTCATACGCCTTGTGTTTACCGTGTCTCTTGATCATGTAATTTTCTCTTCTTGATTTAATCTCACGTTGTTTTGTACAGTAACATGCTGTACAGGCTTGTAGCAATAGGCTGTACCATAGATCCTAGGTATGTAGTAGGCCATGCCATCTAAGTTTGTGTATGTCCACTCTGTGATGTTCATACTATGATGAAATTGCCCAACGATGTATTTCTCAGAACATATCCCCTTTGTTAAGCAGCGCACGACTGTATTTGCTTAGTTGTAGAGTACACAAAAAGTAGTTCCAAATTTTGCAACCCATACCTCTGTGAAAAACAAGTCTAATAAATATTTTTATAGTTCTTTTTGTCAGAGGGAATACAATCAAAATACTATCTTCAGATATCGCTTGGAATGAAAACATATGTCTACACAAAAACTCGTACACAAATGTTTGCAGCATTATTATTCACAATAGTCAATAAGTGGAAACAACCCAAACGTGCATCATTTGATGAATGGAGAAATAAAGTGTGATCTACCCATGCAATGGAATATTATTTAGCCATAAAAAGAAAGGAAGTACTGATGCATGCTACATCATAGATGAATGCTGAAAACATGCTAAATGAAAGAAGCCTGTCACAAAAGACCACATATTGTGTAATTCCATTTATATGAAATGTCCAGAAATAGGCAGATCTATAGACAGAAAGTAAATTAGTGATTGCCTAGGACTGCAAGACAGTGGGGAAAAATAGGGAGTGAATACTCATGGGTACAGAGTCTTAAGGGGGGAGGTGATGAAAAATGTATTAAAAACAGATGGTGATGATGGTTGCACAACTCTGAATATACTAAAAACTACTGAATTGTATACTTTAGATAAATTTTATGATATATGAGTTTTATGTCAAAGTTGTTTGGAAAACATCTGTTTGGGTTGATTCCCCCCACCCCCCTTCCCTGCATCAATGTGGTTAGTATTCATTTGGAATACGGCAAAACTACGCAGAGAGCATATTTAAAAATGTGTCACTTCTCTCTCTCTCCTTTATTTCTACTGTCTTCCCACCCACTCACCGTAGATAACCAATCTCACTAGTTTCTGGCTTATTCTTCCTAAGTATCTTTTTGCAAAAATAAACATACATATGTATTTTCTTATTTACTTTTATTTTTTACAGAGAAGGTACCATACTGCAGTCTTATCTAACATAGATTTGTTTACTTAATAATATATCCTTGAAATTAGACCTTATTTCTCCATAGTGCACCTCTTCATTCTGCTTTACAGTTGTGCGGTGCTCACTGTGCAGAAGTACCATAGTTTATTCAAGCCCCCATATGTATGAGCTTCTAGCTTGGAAACTCTGCAAACAGTATTACTGTGAATAACCTTGTGCGTCTGTATTTTCATATAGTTGGAAGTGTATCCTCAGGATAAATTCCTAGAATTGGGATTACTGGGTCAAAGGGTAAATACAGGTAGGTTTGTTTTGTTAGATACTGCCAAATTTTGCAGGAGTTGTACAAGTTTACATTCCTCCCAGTAATATACAGAAACGTCTGTTTTTACAAGGTCCGCTCAACAAATGTGTTATCTGGCTTTTGAAGCCTTTGCCGATCTGATATGTGAGCATTGTATCTCACCGAAGTTTTAATTAGCATTTCTTGTATTGTGAGTGAAGTCAAACATATTGTCATATGTGTAGGGC